TTTTTTTTTTGGTACTAGGGATCAAACTTGGGACCTTTTAATTTTTTCCACTCTGGCAATTCAAAAAATTGTCATTTATGTAGCTATTATATATATATTTTTTTGGTACTGGGGATCGAACTCGGGTGTTTGTGCTTTCGAGGCAGGCGGCGGAACCACTGAGATAAATCCCCGGCCCAGCCCTTTCTTTTATTTCACACTCTTTGGCAGTCTGGCAAAGCTTATGGACCCCTTCTCAGAATTACATCTTTTTTTTTAATTTAAATTTTTTTGAGATGGGATCTCACTATGTTGCCTAGGCTGGCCTCAGATTCCTGGGTTCAAGTGATCCTTCCACTTCAGCCTCCCAGGTAGCAGGGACTACAGATACAATACCCTTCCCAGCTAGAATAACACTTCTAAAAGTAGTATCATAGTAAGAGACCCCCCAACCATAGTTCTCTAATGAAAATATGTACTTTAGTATAACAGTAGCTGGCTGTATGTCTCAGTAGCTGTGCTGGGGAAATGCAAGAAGCAATCCTTTGTGTTCACCCACTCAGTATGACGAAGGGCAAGGTGTATCCACATGCTTCAAAGTGTAAATGGGTGAGTTTTACCCACATTATGCACCATGTTATATTTTTGTGTATTTATAATTTGTTTTATTGTTTTCTTTTGATTTTTTCATGTAGAATTAGCCCAATTCAGTAAAATATTGCATAAAAATCTGCTCTTACAACTTTGGGAGGAGGCTGAAAGTCATCAGGTGACTTGGCTATCAATGACAACTTGGATCATGTAAGCCAAAGAAGTTAGCAAGATATGACAGACAGAGAAGTACAGAATGAAGACCTTGATTCAGATGAGGGAGAAAACAGTAATGTAAATAAATATTTGACCAGTCAAAATGCTACAAAATGGTCTTGTATACCTGAATGATCCAACATTAGAACTAGGCCGGAAAATGTTATTAGGTTCTTGCCAGGGATGAAACCTATTGGATGGAATGCCAACATTGTGATTCAGTGCTGAAAATGGTTTGTAATGGACAACATGCTACAAGATATTTTGAAATACACTAACAATGAAATACAAAACATTCTATATGCATCAATAGTAATACTCAAAAATATATTTATCATGACACCTATCTGAATTAAAAGCCTAATAGCAAGACTTTATCATTCTAATCATCAGAATCTAAATAACTTACGGAGAAGTGATAGATGAGATTTTTAGAACAATATTGACACTCAAGAGATTTGGTTTCTTTCAAAATTGTCCATATTTTGATGACAAAAAGACCTGGTAAGAAACAAATCCAACAGTTTGGTTGCTATTTGCTCATTTTTTGAAAACTTTGTTTCAAACTGTCAAGCAATTTATACACCATCTGAATACATGACAATTGATGACCAACTTACATCATTTCATGGTTGAAGGATTCAGCAATACATACCTTCATATGTATATATGCCAAATATGGTATAAAAATATATGTGTTGGTAGATGGGAATACATTTTACACTTTGAATTTAGAAATTTATCCTGGAATTCAGCCACCAGGTCTTTATTTATACAGTAATAAACCATATGATGTTGTGAACAGACTTGTTGCACCTATTTCAAAAAGTAAGGGCCGGAGATTTAGCTCAGTGGTTCCGCCGCCTACCTTGCAAGTGCAAGGACCCAAGTTCAATCCCCGGTACCAAAAACAAAAAACAAAATGTAGCCCAGGAGGCAGGGATTTAGCTCAGTGGTTCTGGTGCCTGCCTCACAAGTGAAAGGTTCTGAGTTCAATCTCCAGTACCAAAAAAAAAGTAACCCAAATGTCACATTTGACAATTAGTTCACTAGTTACCCATTGAGGTTATATTGGCTAAAAAACACCAGGTGACCAACATAGGAGCTATTTGCAAGAATAAAGAGGAGATTCCTGAAAAAAATGTTACAAATTCATAATAGAGAAATGCATAGGACAATCTTTGGATTTCAGAAAGACATAATATTGGCTTCCTATTTGGTGAAGAAAAACAAAGTATTGATACTGTCAACATTACATCATGATAAAAAAATTGATAGTGAACCCAGGCATGGTGGTGCATGCCTGTAATCCCAGCACTTAGGAGGCTGAGGCAGGAGGATCCTGTGAGTTCAGGGTCAGCCTGTGCTACATAGAGAATTCAAGGCTAGCCTGGACTACAATAGAGACCCTGTCTCAAAACAAAAAAGACTAATAGTGAATCCTTAACATAAATGAAGCCACAACAAAATGCAGCAACTATGATGTCACTCAAAACACAAAGTGTTGGGCCAGGGATTTAGCTCAGTGGTTTCACCACCTGCTGGCAAGTGCAAGGACCCGAGTTCGATCCCCAGTACTAAAAAAACCCCCAAACACAAAGTTTTGTTGCCCAATGGTTGTATTTTACTCAATCCTAAACATGTCAGGCATAAATAGTTTTATACTTTACAAAGAAAATAACAAGCACAAAATATCATGGAGAGCCAGAGATTCAGCTCAGTGATTCTGCCACCTGCCTTGCAAGCAGAAGGACCCGAGTTTGATCCC